TGGGGTTGAAACAGATCCCGAGAAGACACAAGCGTTAAAAACCTGGCCGAGTCCCACGAACCTAAAAGAACTGAGGTCATTTTTGGGCTTTTCCGGCTACTATCGCCGTTTCATTAAGGATTATTCGAAGATTGTAAAACCACTCAATGATCTTACTTCAGGGTATCCACCGTTAAGGAAGAGTGGTAAAAAGAGTGACAAAAAGGGTCAGTACTACAATCCTAAGGAGCCCTTTGGAAGTCGTTGGACGCCTCTTTGTGAGGAAGCTTTTCAGTCCATTATCGGGAAGCTTACTAGTGCACCTGTCCTGGGTTTTGCTGACCCCAAACTCCCCTACTTTCTCCACACCGATGCCAGCACCAAGGGATTAGGAGCTGCGCTGTATCAAGAACAAGGTGGGCAGATGCGTGCAATTGCATTCGCGAGCAGAGGGCTGTCGCACAGTGAGTCAAGGTATCCTGCTCACAAACTTGAATTCCTTGCTCTTAAATGGACAGTAACTGAAAAATTCAGTGATTACCTTTATGGCAGCCAATTTACTGTCATTACTGATAGCAACCCTCTCACGCATGTTCTTACCACTGCAAGATTAGATGCAACTAGTTATCGGTGGCTTGCAGCTCTTTCTACGTTCTCCTTTAAGTTGCAGTACAGGGCAGGCAAGCTGAACATTGATGCCGATAGTCTTTCAAGGCGACCTCAGGAGCCTTTTCCAGAAAACCCCTTATCACAAAAGGAGCATGAAAGGATCCAACAGTTCATAGAGCATCAGCTTACCGCCGCAGAAGAGTCTTTCAGTGCCACGGAGGAGGAAGTCCAGGCCATCTGTGAGAAGCACCTTGTTAGGCAATCAGCTGATGTCGGGCCAGGCATTGCTCTTGTAAGCTCCATTGCACTACGTTCTGATGCTGTACCCGACTGTTATGAACGAGAAGATAGTTCTGATTGCTTACCTGTTATACCTCACCTTTCAAAAGATCTTGGTGAAAAACAAAGAGCCGATCCAGTTCTTCGAGAGGTGATTTTGCACTTGGAGTTGGGAGAGAGACCTTCACCAGCGCTAAGGAAGGAACTTCCTGGTCTTCCTTATTTCCTAAAAGAATGGAACTGCCTTGAGATAAAGGATGGAACACTTTATAGGAGACAGATAGTTAAGGATTCTATCACTTACCAGCTAGTGCTCCCAGAAGAGTTAAGATCCACGGTGATGAGCAGTTTACATGATAATATGGGACACATGGGGATGGAGAGAACCTTAGATCTGGTCAGATCCCGTTTCTACTGGCCAAAAATGGCTGCTGAAGTGGAACAGAAGGTCAGGACATGTGGTCGTTGTGTGCGAAGGAAGTCTTTACCTCAAAAAGCGGCACCCTTGGTCAACATCCAGGCCACTAGACCGTTACAGTTAGTTTGTATGGACTTCCTGTCATTGGAACCAGATAGAAGTAACACAAGAGATATCTTAGTGATCACAGATTTTTTCACTAAGTATGCTGTGGCAATCCCTACCCCAAATCAAAAGGCGAGAACAGTAGCAAAGTCTCTTTGGGAGAATTTTATTGTGCACTATGGGTTCCCTGAACGCCTTCACAGTGACCAGGGCCCAGATTTTGAGTCACGCACAATCAAAGAACTTTGTGAGATATCAGACATCAAGAAAATTCGAACAACACCCTACCATCCTTGGGGAAATCCTGTGGAGCGTTTCAACAGGACTCTGCTGAATATGCTTGGCACATTAGAAGAGAAAGACAAAAGTCATTGGAAAGATTTTGTCAAGCCCTTAGTGCATGCATATAATTGCACGAAGCACGAAGTTACAGGGTTTACCCCCTATGAATTGATGTTTGGGCGCCAGCCTCGGTTGCCTATCAGTCCACAGAAATCCCATTCTGAATATGTCAAGCACCTAAGGTCTCATTTAGAAGAAAGCTATCTGCTTGCCTCCAGTAGAGCATTAAAGAGTGCAGAGCGGAACAAAACCAGGTTCGACAAAGGTGTGACAAATTCCTCCTTGGAAGTCAATGATCGAGTGTTGGTGAGAAATCTTCGGCTGCGTGGTAAACACAAGTTAGCAGACAAGTGGGAGTCAGGGGTGTATGTTGTAGTAAAGCGAGCAGCTGACTTACCAGTTTACACAGTTCGTCCTGAGAGCAAGGATGGTCCTCTTCGTACACTTCACAGAGACCTTCTGCTTCCTTGCAGATTCTTACCAACACCAGAAGTCTCAAGTCCTACCTTGTCCAAACCTACTTCTAAACACAGAACACGCCAGAACCCTAGTGTTCCGCCATCGGATGATGACTCATTTGCTGACTCAGAGGATGAAGATATTAATGGATGGTCTAATGCTTTTCCAGTTGTGGAAACAGTGCGGTTCTCTACAGTCCATGACATCTGTAGATCAAAGGAAACTGTGGATGTTCCTTCTGATGCTGACTTGACTAACCAAGATCCCCCAGATGTTGACAATACAGTGGAGCACTCACCTGCTGATGCATCAGACGAATACTTACCTGTTGACGATTCACCTGTTGATGCTCCAAGGGTCCCTGAAACAAGTAATATACCTGACGAGGACCAAACTGAAACAGAAAAGGACCTACCTGTTCAGAGTGAATATGAAGTTGAAGTGACAAACTATGCTGAAGTATCAGATGTTCCTGTTGAAGGGAAAGAACAACAGCCAGAAACTGAGGGGGGGGGGCATAATTCAGATATTCCGCTCAGACGCTCTAATAGGCAGAGAGGGGAACCTGAGAGACTTGCCTACTTTCAACTTGGAAACCCCTTGTCTTTTGTTGTTCAGTCCTTGTTCCAGGGGTTAAGCACTGCCCTTGTTAGCTCTCTCAATGGTGTTGAAAATTCAGGTGCCCTTTCCATTTTAACTGATGTTTCATCAAATGTAGTGACTAATCAGCCACTCAGAGCATGCAAAGGGTCTTGCATGATTTCAGGGGGGAAAAGTGTAACCCTGGTTAAGTAATTGTTTTACAGATATTATTTATTTTTATGTTGCTTGAATTGAATGTTATGATTATTCATAAATGTGAAATTCTATACAAAATAATATAAATATATATCTGAATTGAGTTAAGTTATGAGTATCCACCAATCGGAGCGTTTGGTTGCTGGCTCCGCCCCTTGCTTACGAATAGCGTTGCGCAGATTAGACAACAGATGCAGAGCGACGGAGATATCTGATCTGACTAGAGCAATCTGACGAGAGAGTGTTACAATTGAACTGATATAGTTCTTAAACTGTTCAAAGCTCATAAAAACGGAAAAAATCTGAGAAGTAAGATAGTAGATGACCTTTTATGATTGTCAATCGGGCACTTCAGAGTTTACATTGACTCGTGTGGTTGTGTCAGACCGCATGGTGTATTAAGTGTTCACTGCTGACGCCATTTTGTCTGCGCGTGCCTGTGGGAAAAAAAGGAAAAAAAGTGAATGAACAGGCCAGGGTTTTTTTTCTGTGTGAATTGTTTTTCCAAGATGGATTTCCCCAATTGATGGCGAGCCTCCCACTTCGATTCTGAAGAGATCACGAACTTAGAGGAGAGGACAGTTTTCCGTCTCATTATACCGTTTCACCTGCTCGGATAAGTAAGAGTACACGTTTTCAGAGACTGATATTTGTTTTTTGGGACTGAAACAGTAACTCTGTTTACACAATTGAGAAAATATAACATTGATCAACATTCCAATTGATATTTCTTGGAAGCAGTGGTTAATGTGTATGGCCACTGGTGATTGTTTTGTTTTTGTTTTTTCTTTCATTTGAGATCACTTGGATACAGTGAGTGAAATTGTGATTATTGATATGCAAAAAGTTATTTAGAGGGTGCACCCAGGCAATATATAAGTTTTTTGTATATATTTATTTCCTCTGTTGTTTTGTATTGTTATTTTGTGATAAAAAAAAAAAAAAAAAATACAAAAGAGAAAGGATCACTAAATACAAAAAGTAAAGTTATCTTTTAAGGTTCAACCTACCTTCTGTCTCTGCCTGTTTTCTCAGCATCACCACCACCTCCGTTTTCGTACCAAGCAGTCTTTTAATTTTATTTGTCTGGTCCATTAGTGAGTTAATTTCCGCTACAATTGCATTCAGGGTATACATTTGATCAGTTCTTGTTTTCCCTGGGAATCAAAGCAGTGACCTTGGCGTTGCTAGTGCCTTTCTCTACTGTTTAAAGGGTTAGTTCACCCAAAAATTAAAATGATGTCATTAATGACTCACCCTCATGTCGTTCCAAGCCCATAAGACCTCCGTTCATCTTCGGGACACAGTTTAAGATATTTTAAATTTAGTCCGAGAGCTTTCTGACCCTCCATTGAAAATGTATGTACAGTATACTGTCCTTGTCCAGAAAGGAAATAAAGACATCATCAAAGTAGTCCATGTGACATCAGTGGGTTAGTTACAATGTTTTGAAGCATCGAAAATACACGTCAGCAGCGTCTTACGTCAGCAGCGGCACTGAACGCGGATCCACAACAGAACCGGAAGACAATACAATGCTGAATAAAGTCGTAGTTTTTGTTAATTTTGAACCAAAATGTATTTCTGATGCTTCAAAACGTTGTAACTAACCCACTGATGTCACATGGACTACTTTGATGATGTCTTTATATCCTTTCTGGACAAGGACAGTATACCGTACATACATTTTCAATGGAGGGACAGAAAGCTCTCGGACTAAATCTAAAATATCTTAAACTGTGTCCCGAAGACGAACGGAGGTCTTACGGGCTTGTGACGACATCATTTTCATTTTTGGGTGAACTAACCCTTTAAGCTACAGGTAAAAATAGGATTTCCAATATTCAAATCAGGTTACATCATTCACACTGTTGTTCAAAACTCAGATCAGCAAAATCGACATGGCCACTACAAACCTCTCAGACGACAAATGAAGGGATAGTCCCAATTGTTTCTGAACAGAAGCAGATAAATCCAGTTGAAAAAACTCAAACGTGTCTCTGTCTTCCAGTGTCCATGTCAGACGGACAGATAAAGTCGGGACGGAGGCCGCGTTTCACCCCATAGAGGAGTACATGGTCCATGTGGAGGAACAGTTCCAGTACATGGCTCAACGGGGACACGTGGATAAAAAACGAGTGTATTTGGCCACCGACGACCCCTCGCTGTTACAGGAAGCAAAAACCAAGTGAGTTACGAGTCCTGAAAGGGATTTCGACAAATGCTACAAAAGTGCAGAGAAAGAGAGACAGACAACACAAAAAACAGCTTTTGATCTAGTCACTCTTTTTTTTTTGCTCTCACCGAGTTAAAAGCATCAAAGGTTTCTAGAAATAAACACTGCATGCAGCAAAATGAAGAAATATCTATTTTACATGGTTTTATAAGCTCACATTACATTTTATAAATGCACACATTTCCTGTGAGAGCTATAATTTACTTTATATTTCACTTTATAAATTACATTTAAATGTATTTATAGGTTATTATTTATTTATAATGCATTTGTTTGGAATTTATTTTTGTAACCATATATAAATGAACATTTTACATTTTATTTATAGTTATATAATGAAAATGTATATATTTGATGAGTCATCAATATTCTAAATGTATTATGCACTTTTTTCATCTTCCAGTTTGAAAATGTAAGTTTATAATTTATTTAATTATAATGTATTTGTTTGGGATTTATGTATTTTATTTGTAACCATATATAAATAAACATTTATAATTACAAGTGTTACATTTTACATATAGTTATATAATGAAAATGTATATATGATGAGTCATCGGTATTATAAATGTATTATGCACTATTTTTATCTTCCAGTTTGAAAATGTAAGTTTATAATTTATTTATTTATTCATAATGTATTTGTTTGGGATTTATTTATTTATTTTATTTGTAACCATATATAAATGAAAATGTATAATTACAATTTTTACATTTTACATATAGTTATATAATGAAAACGTATATATTTGATGAGTAATCGATATTCTAAAAGTGTTTTGTGCTATTTTCATCTCTCAAAATGTTCATTTGTCTCGTTTCCGGTTGTCTACTGTGGGTGGAAGGTTATTTAGTGTTAAAGTACTTCGTGATATTCACGTGATAAGTACACAGTGATATCTCATCTGTGGCTACATTCAAGACTCAGCTAAAAACATATCTATTTAACATGTATTTTGTATAATGTGACTATATGTGTCCTCCTCATGTGATTGTAATGTGTGTAAGGGTGTGTAAATGTGTTGTAATGTACAATGTAAAGCGACCTTGAGCTACAGAAAGGCTCTATATTAATAAAACTTCTTCTTCTTCGTTTTAAACCTGGAAGATGAAAATAGTGTGGGGGAAAAAGCTCCCCAAAATTTACAACGCTGTCTTCAATGATGTGCAACACAAGTTGTTAAAATATTGTTTAGTGTTTAATGTATTTTTAATATTTTAAATGTTTTTCAGGTACGCCGACTATGAGTTCATCAGTGACAACTCCATCTCTTGGTCAGCAAGTTTACACAACCGTTACACAGAGAACTCCCTCAGAGGCGTCATCCTGGACATCCACTTCCTGTCGCAGACTGACTTCCTGGTTTGCACCTTCTCCTCACAGGTACATAGACCCTGTCGTACAAAAACTCTTGTTAATCCTTAAACCAGCAGTTGTTTGTTTTACTGGTAACACTTTACAATAAGGTTTCATTTGTTAACAGTAAAGAAGTCATGACATGGGAAATCAACTTTGCCTTGATCTTTTGACATATAAGAGGTCTTTGTACCATTAAATCACCCTGCAAGTTTCATAGCTTAAAACGTCATCCTCATTATAAACATAGCATTTATAATCAAGCTCCAAAAATGGCTCGTTTTGATATTTCGGGATCTGTGATGTCACATGGGCAAATACATTTGCATATGCATGCCTCCAGTGCCAATCATTGACGAATAGTTGTACATCGTCGCATCATAGGCCCCGCCTACTGGCGTTCAGTCACTTAATGGCTGGCACTTGCCTACACCGGATGAGAACGTCACGTCAAATCAAACAGAAGCCATTATAATCACTGACGCTGTCTACATTGGACACAGTATAGAGACGCGAGTTCAGTTTCAGACGCACTCCACGCGCTTTGATCGTCCAGTTTAAACGGATCATTTGCTCATTTCTGTAGAGACTTCAGAAGGATCCCAGCGTCAGAAACAAGTGTACGGTTTATTTTAATGGCGTCCCGCATCGAGTCGGAGGGTTATATGTTTGTTCAGAGCATTTGACTCCAGATTATTTTGTCTGTAAATGAGGCAAGGCAAGGCAAGGCAAGTTTATTTATATAGCACATTTCATACACAATGGTAATTCAAAGTGCTTTACATAGAAAAAATTAAAATAATCAAAACAAATAGGAATAATTAAAACAGTTTAGAATAAAAAATAAAATAAAGTACAGTACAGTACAGTAAAAACAGTCGGACGAACAGTGGCACAGTGCTCATTCAGTAAATGCACAGATAAACAGATGTGTTTTGAGTCTGGATTTGAATGTAACTACTGTAGGAGCACATCTGATCTCCTCTGGAAGCTGGTTCCAGCATAATAGCTAAAAGCAGACTCTCCGTGCTTAGAGTGAACCCTTGGTATTTCTAGCTGATGTGATCCTAATGATCTGAGGGATCTGTTAGGTTTATATTCAGTGAGCATATCTGCAATATATTGAGGTCCTAGCCCATTAAATGATTTATATACCAGTAATAATACTTTAAAATCAATCCTAAATGTAACTGGGAGCCAGTGTAAAGACCTGAGGACTGGTGTGATATGTTCATATTTTCTGGTCCTGCTCAGAATCCTGGCAGCAGCGTTCTGTATGAGCTGCAACTGTCTTATGGTCTTTTTAGGAAGGCCAGTGAGGAGTCCATTACAATAATCCACCCTGCTGGTGATAAAAGCATGCACAAGTTTCTCTAAGTCTTGACTGGAAACAAAGCATCTAATTCTTGCAATATTTTTCAGATGATAGTATGCTGATTTAGTAATTGCTTTGATATGACTACTGAAACTAAGGTCTGACTCTAGAGACACACCAAGATTCCTGACTTGATTTTTAGTTGTTAGACCCCTAGCGTCAAGGTATGCATTCACCTTGAGAACTTCATCTTTGTTTCCAAACGCAACAACTTCAGTTTTGTCTTTGTTTAACTGAAGAAAGTTTTGGCACATCCAACTGTTTACTTCATCAATGCATTGGCACAGGGAGTCAATGGGGCTGTAGTCGTTAGGCGATAGGGCTAAGTAGAGCTGTGTGTCGTCTGTATAGCTGTGGTAAGCAATTTGGTTATTTCTCCTTATTTGGCTTATTGGGAGCATATACAGGTTGAACAGGATTGGCGCAAGAATTGAGCCTTGAATGACGGTTTTATATGAATGTTTTCAAAACACTAACTCATGTGCAATAGCAACGGGGCGTTGATACTGTTTATAATAAATAGCGCTAGCCGATCATAACAGTGGCCGTTTACTGACAAGCCTTAAAGGAGCAGCGCCTTATAAACAAGTCATTTCAGACTAGAGGGTCAGTAATTTTTTTTCAGGTATTTTTTTTTTGTGTGCCAAAAAATCCTTTATTAACATAATAAGTGAACCTCAAGAAACATATTAAAATAATTTGTCAAAAAATCCATCCCTTTAAATACCTACATTAATAAACTTGAACGAACTATGAACAATACTTCAAAATTGGTAAAACTTTACAAAAAGGTTCCATTTGTTAGCATTAGTTAAATACATTAGTTAACATGAAACATACTTGTAAAGCGTTTATTAATCTTAGTGAATGTAAATTTCATTCAGTTGTATCTGTGAATATTATTTAATAGACCTGAGCTGACGTGAGCAGATGTATTTTTGGTAACACTTTACAATAAGGTTCATTAGTTATTATTAGTTAATTTATTAACTAAAATGAACTAATCATGAGCAATACATTTGTTACTGTATTTGTTAATAAAAATACAACTGAACATTGTTAATTCCTGTTAGTTCACAGTGCATTAACTAATGTTAAAAAATACAACCTTTGATTTTAGAAATGTATTAGTAAATGTTGAAATGAATATTAACTAAGAGTAATTAATGCTGTAGAAGTATTGGTCATTCTCAGTTCATGTTACCTAAGGTTGTTAACTAATGAACCTTATTGTAAAAGTGTTACCGTATTTTTTAACTAACATTAATAAAGATTGAATGCAATTTTTTTAATTAAAAATATGTAAAGCATAGTGTGTCGTTCTTCAAATCATGTGTTTGTTGATGCTGTTCTACTTATTTTCACTGATAAATGACTTTTAGACTGACTTTCAGACTTACCTGGCAAATTATATATATACACTCACCTAAAGGATTATTAGGAACACCATACTAATACTGTGTTTGACCCCCTTTCGCCTTCAGAACTGCCTTAATTCTACGTGGCATTGATTCAACAAGGTGCTGAAAGCATTCTTTAGAAATGTTGCCCCATATTGATAGGATAGCATCTTGCAGTTGATGGAGATTTGTGGGATGCACATCCAGGGCACGAAGCTCCCGTTCCACCACATCCCAAAGATGCTCTGTTGGGTTGAGATCTGGTGACTGTGGGGGCCATTTTAGTACAGTGAACTCATTGTCATGTTCAAGAAACCAATTTGAAATGATTCGAGCTTTGTGACATGGTGCATTATCCTGCTGGAAGTAGCCATCAGAGGATGGGTACATGGTGGCCATAAAGGGATGGACATGGTCAGAAACAATGCTCAGGTAGGCCGTGGCATTTAAACGATGCCCAATTGGCACTAAGGGGCCTAAAGTGTGCCAAGAAAACATCCCCTACACCATTACACCACCACCACCAGCCTGCACAGTGGTAACAAGGTATGATGGATCCATGTTCTCATTCTGTTTACGCCAAACTCTGACTCTACCATCTGAATGTCTCAACAGAAATCGAGACTCATCAGACCAGGCAACAGTTTTCCAGTCTTCAACTGTCCAATTTTGGTGAGCTCTTGCAAATTGTAGCCTCTTTTTCCTATTTGTAGTGGAGATGAGTGGTACCCGGTGGGGTCTTCTGCTGTTGTAGCCCATCCGCCTCAAGGTTGTGCGTGTTGTGGCTTCACAAATGCTTTGCTGCATACCTCGGTTGTAACGAGTGGTTATTTTAGTCAAAGTTGCTCTTCTATCAGCTTGAATCAGTCGGCCCATTCTCCTCTGACCTCTAGCATCAACAAGGCATTTTCGCCCACAGGACTGCCGCATACTGGATGTTTTTCCCTTTTCAACCCTAGAAATGGTTGTGCGTGAAAATCCCAGTAACTGAGCAGATTGTACTCAGAAATACTCAGACCGGCCCGTCTGGCACCAACAACCATGCCACGCTCAAAATTGCTTAAATCACCTTTCTTTCCCATTCTGACATTCAGTTTGGAGTTCAGGAGATTGTCTTGACCAGGACCACACCCCTAAATGCATTGAAGCAACTGCCATGTGATTGGTTGATTAGATAATTTTATTAATGAGAAATTGAACAGGTGTTCCTAATAATCCTTTAGGTGAGTGTGTATATATATATATATATATATATATATATATATATATATATATATATATATATATATATATATATATATATATATATATATATAAAGATGAAAAACACCATTTCACCATTCTGGTTTTTCCCACCCAACATTTTCCCGCCCTTGTGGTTCTGTATGTGTCAGGTGTGCCGTGTGGCTTACGAGATCATGCAGACTCTTCACCCGGACGCCTCCGCTTTCTTCCGCTCTTTGGACGACATCTACTACTTCGGTGGACAGAACGCACACAATCAAATGGCCATCTACCCACACCAGGCCCGCACGCCTGAGGACGTCCCGCTGGAGCCCGGAGACGTCATCGGAGTGGCCGGAAACCACTGGGACGGATACTCCAAAGGGGTGAACCGCAAACTGGGACGCACCGGCCTCTACCCGTCCTATAAAGTGAAGGAGAAGGTGGAGACGGTGAAGTATCCCACTTACCCCGAGGCAGACAAGCTGCTGAGCTCATAGAACAACAGATTAATAATCACGAGCACCAGGACGGGTGAGCTCGCCATGCCGAGGATCGCCGGATGGATGTAACTTTTATTCTAACCTGACTGAGGTTTGTATAAATTGCATAAGGATCTCATAGACTGATGTGGACATTGAGAGCCTTTGAAACGGCTCTCAGATCAGCAGAAGCAAATGATTCAAACATTTTTTTTATTGTTTTTTTTATTATTATTCTCTTGCCTTCTTTGCCACTTTCTCTGTCCTCAAACTCAAACTGGAGTGAATCTCACAGAGGATGTCAGGAATATGTTTAGGTCACATTTCATCCACAAAATCAACAAAAAAAGTAAGAACTTTTTTATTTATTTATGTTTTACATTAAGAAAATTAAGCCTGATGTGAAATAATACCTCAAATTATATTATTTACATGAAAATTAGTGTTTGTTTTTTGTCAATGTGTATAAATAAATGTTTATTTATAACGTATTTGTTTAATTTATTCACACTTACCATTATGAAAAATAGGTTTATTTTTTATTTTCACATTATGTTAGTATTTGTTATGCTATTTATTAAATGAGAATGAATTACAAACTCAAAACCTTCTGAGACATTAAAGCAATGCAAATTGGAGTTAAAATGTATTTATAATTAATTTTAAATGTATTTATTTATTTATAATTACAATTGTTGTATTTATGTATAATAATCATATAATGAAAACATATTATTTCAATTATTTTCACAGTATGGTAGTATTTTCCTTTTATTTATCCTGATTAAAAAAATATATTTAATTAAACGTTTCGTCACAAACAGTATATTATTCAAATTGCAGAGAAAATGTAATTTCTTATTTCTATCATTTGATTTAGTGGTGAAATATGATCTGGACATTTTCTTGAAATTGTGTTTCTCATTTTTTCATCATCACGCTGCGCTCTTAAGTTCTCGATCTGTCTTAAGTCTGTATGTGTGCATTTATGTGTGTGTTCACACAAACTATTTGTGCTTTATTTATTGTGCATCCAGAGCGGTGCCTGAAATGAAAGGAAACGGCTTTGGAGAACTTATATATATATAAAAAAGGAGTTATTAAATAGTTGTTAAGGTAACTTAACAATTTACCCATTGTTGTCAAATGACTCATTGTTACTGATCCCTGAATCATTTGGCAATTTTACAAATGCACACATTTAAAAAAAAGTTAGGATTAGTTTTGTAGTCAAATATTATAAGATAAATGTGATCTCATTAGAGATTCATAAGTATTATGTAAAGTGTGACTAGCCATTTTTTTTTTTTACAATTGCACAGATACATACATTACAACATAAATGTTTTGGCATGTACAGCTTCAGAAAAGTACATGTTTAGAATTCATTTATTTTGGTTCACAAAATATAAAATTCAAAGGTTCCTGCTGTTCCACCAGCCTTTCATAGACAGAATTTGGTTCCAAGGGAATGCATGAAGGGATATAAAGTGCACCTTAAATGCAATGCAATTTGCTTTGGATACAAATCAATGCATTAAAGAGGACCTATTATGCTGTTTTCCATGTTCATCTTTCTTTAGTGTGTAATGTTGCCGTTTGAGCTCAAAGTCCCTCCAGCGGGAGTTCTTCTCTATATCAGTGTCAGTGTTTCTGAACTCCTGAAACGCCTCCATTGTAGTCTTGAGTTTCTTCCGGGAACAAACATGTCACAATATTCCTCATTTAAATAATTCATACGCAGAATAAAGGGGCGGGGCCTGGTTGAGTTAGTTAGTAGTGTGTTAAACTGGCGGTTATGGTAAGGGGCGGGACATTTCTCAAACACACTCGAAGCTCTTGACCAATCACAACACACTGATCCAGCCGACCAATCAGAGTACAGTGTGCTTTTCAGAAGGAGGGGCTTCATAGAGACAGGAACTAAACAGAGCGTTACTGACAGACTGGGAAGAGAGGAGCCGCAACAATGGAGAATATAGGGGAAAAAAATGTTGAACATTCAAGCATGTAAACCTATTCTAGTAGAGCCCAAAAACAAAATCAAGACTTTGTGAAAGAGCATAATACGGACTCTATAATGTAACATAAATGTAAGTAATGTAATGTAATTCCAAAGGTAAAATAAAATGCACATGTACTTTACATACAAATACCTATCAACACTAATGAGATCAGATTTAAATGGTTATAGTGTGAAATGAACTGAATCATTTTGGGTTTAATGTTCAATTAGGTTGAGCATCTCTTCTTTGATAATGAGACATTAATCCCCAGGAATTGATGAGGTGTGTTTGAGTCATATGGAGAAATGGGTTTCATGGAAATGTCACTGTAGATTTAAAGTGTTTGTTGTTGTGTTAGAAACTTTAATAGTCCACCATTGTTGCGATTACAAACTGATGATTTTAAAATGCCAACATGTTCTTTATAAATGGTGTCAGAACAGACTGAAGGCAAACCCAACAGTACATACTTCCAGCTTTCATCATTTCTTCAACTTCATTTTTATTGACATTTTTGTCCGTTTATTTGCTGGTTTCAACTCTGAAATGAACTTGGAGTTTAACTTTCTTTTGTAATGAAGACAAATAACGTTCATTATTATGAGACTTTGTCTGCGAGATGTTTTTCACATGTTTTGTTCTAGGGCTTTGTCTTATATAAACCCACTGATCAATTAAAGTGGAGAACTCTGATTGGCTGTTGTGTTGCTTCAGAGCTGTGGGTCTGCAGGCTTTACACCGCATTGATCAATGCTTTCTTTCATCAAAGTTCAGGCTTAATGCGCCTGCATGACATTCACTGTTCAGACCTGTGTGTGTGAGTGAGTGAGTGAGTGAGTGAGTGAGTGAGTGAGTGAGTGAGTGAGTGAGTGAGTGAGTGAGTGAGTGAGTGAGTGAGTGAGTAAGTGAGTGAGTGAGTGAGTGAGACAGTGAGTGAGTGAGACAGTGAGTGAGTGAGACAGTGAGTGAGTGAGACAGTGAGTGAGTGAGACAGTGAGTGAGTGAGACAGTGAGACAGTGAGTGAGTGAGACAGTGAGTGAGACAGTGAGTGAGTGAGTCAGTGAGTGAGTGAGTCAGTGAGTGATTGAGACAGTGAGTGAGACAGTGAGTGAGTGAAAGTACGTGTGTGATTTAATTGTGTAACTTCTATGCATCTTTATTTTTTGTCCATAATAATACATTCTTCATCTCCAGTCCAGTGGCTTGTTTCCAGGTGTCAGGTTACGCCGCTGTCCTGGACCATAACTCCTGCTATAGGTTTACTGGTCATGGTGTTTTTCACTGGATTATGACTTTGCACAAACAGAGTTGGTAAGTTATTCTGGCACAGCAGCCTCATATTATGTTTTAAATAAATCCCATTCACATCCAAGCATGTATTTAACTTTTTATAAACTCGTCACAGATGTTTTCCGCAGAGCTGGAACTATTGAACCTGGAATAATTCAGTGATTAAAAACAGACGGGTGATGAGCGATAAAAGCTCTCGTTTTGCTCTGTTACCTGCAGGACACTTCGATTATAAGCCACTTAATGTGTTTGCGCTGCCCTGTGACCTTTTTCTGAAGAGACCGTAGTTTGGTTAATTATTCTGTTAACTGGTCATCAGTCTTTAGTATTTGTACATGCATGTCGCTCCTTTCGTTTATTACAAGTCTGAGACGTTTCACACATTATAAGAGACAGAGCTGATCAGAGTTCAGATGCTCTTCACAGTATTTTAGTAATTCTGTGATAATATACTAACTTTCATATTCCAAATTTGAAAAAACTTTTGAAAAAATTACTTTTAAACCGGTACTCAAGTCAGTCTCTCAAGTTCACCAAGGTTGCAGTTATTTGATCAAAAATACAGTAAATAGTGAAAACTTTTTATGATTTAAAATATTTTTTTAAATATAATTTATTTCTGTGATCAAAGCTGTATTTTCAGCATCATTACTCCAGTCTTCAGTGTCACATGATCCTTCAGAAATCACTCTAATATGATGATTTGATGATTTTGATTATTGTTTTGTTCATCTTCTGACTATATTCAATGCATATTTTATTATATTTATATATTTGCTATGAAATATTCAAATGTTGATTTAAACGTATTTTTTCCATAATTTAAACCATAATTTAAACCATGCAGTAAAATATACATAAAAATAGCATAATCTTTTTTTCTTTGCACTATTTTCACTAAATACAGATGGTTTAAATTATAACATATATGTTTTTTTCCAATTATATGCAATAATAAACAGCAATATTTATGTAGCGTAAATATGTTTTACTAAACCATAACATATAGCTTAAATAATGTGACGTGCGGATTAATCGATGAATCAGAGTTTCAATTGATTCAGTTCGAGTTGATTGACAGATATAAAACTAACTGCACTGTCTAATGGTGAGAAAGATATAATAGATTTTCATTTTGTGAACTGTAAATATACAGCTAGTGTGCGTCTTTGACTAAGCTAATTCAATTCTACATGTGCAATGATGCTATTGCTGTCTGAAGGCATGTCCGTCCGTTATAGGTTTTAGTCAGATGTTTAATTCATGTAAACTACACTGGTTAACCACCCTGTGATTTCCCAGTAATTGCGTTATTGAATTCGCCTATTAACTGTTGGTCGATTTGTGCTTCTCTGGCCGTTTCTTCTCCCTGGAGTGTGTTTTAGCGTTAGCTGTCAGCTCGCTGTGATGACCATTAGCACGCAGCTGCGGTCCGCGGGAGATAACCGGTGATTTAGAGCTCGAGTCTCTTCTTATCTCGCGCACGCGCGCACACACACACACACACGCTTGCTCAAAGCCATCCGTCTACGTCCACAGCCTCTGATAAAACTGCAGCCTTGTGCATGTTCCCGCCGCGTGTTCATACGCTTTCCAGATGTCTGTGTTTACTAAAAACATTTGGAATCCCATTTGAAGGTTTCATGGCACTTTTCACAGATGAAAATCAGGTGCTAAGTGAGTTTAATGGTCTAGATCAGGATTAAAGGACAACAAACGCTGTAAAAATTATTCAGTCAATCTCCAATCATGACACTAGTTTCTTGTACCACTTGTACCAAGAATACTAACACACACACAGACACACAGCTTCTTCAAGGTTGGATTTGATCGGGCTCGAACTATAAACAGGACTCTTCCCAAAACATCAAGATAACATGTTCTTTCTCTCAATGAGAGGACACTTTAATATAGTAAAGTAAATGCTTTAACTAAGAAATGGTCATTTAATCTGTTGGTTCCAATGACCCTTGTGACCGCTAGTTGTCATGGTGAGCTAGAAGAACAGATATATGACCTTTCTCAAACAAAACAAGTCCATATTTCATCTCTCATATTTAATTTAGCCGGGCTAA